AGTATAAAATAAGGAGGGGAGGGGTGAGGAGAGGAGAGGAGAGAAGAAAAGAGAGAAGAAAATATAAAATAAGGAAGAAGAGTGTAAAATAAGGAGGGGAGGGGTGAGGAGAGGAGAGAAGAGAAGAAAATATAAAATAAGACGGAAGGAGAAGAGGAGTATAAGATAAGGAGGAGAGGGGTGAGGAGAGGAGAGAAGAGGAGAAAATATAAAATGAAGAAGAGGAGGGAAGAAAATATAAAATAAGGAAGGAGAATAGGAAAGTATAAAATAAGGAGGGGAGGGGTGAGGAGAGAAGAAAACATAAAATAAGAAGGAAGGAAGGAGAGGAGAGAATCTTTACTCTCATTTGTAATTGTGAGCACACTGGCAGACATTACACATGAAATTCTGAAGACACACTTCAAAGCGGTGTTTTTTCAGCCTTGGCCAATTTAAGACGGGTGGACTTCAACTCCCAGAATCCCCCAGCCAGCATGCTATATCAATCAACAGTCCCCAACATTTCGGGCACTGGGGATCAGTTTTGGAAGGAAAATGGTCTCCCACAGACCAGGGGGGGAAAAGAATGCTTTTGTGCGCAATCTAGACTCTGCGCATGCACAGATGAAGCATCGCTCGCTGGCCGGCCGCTTGCGCAGCCCAGTTCCTAACAGGCCACAGACCGGAACCGGTCCACAGGCCAGAGGTTGTGGGCCCTTTGCTATTAATGCTGCCTCTGTGCAAATACAGGTAGCTCTCTACTTAACAGTTCATTTAGTGACCGTTCCAAGTTACGACGGCACTGAAAAAAGGGACTTAGGACCGTTTCTCACAGTTACGACCTTTGCAGCCTCCCCTCGATCAAAATTCAGACGCTCGGCAACTGACTCGTACTTACGACGGTCGCAGCGTCCCGGGAGTCAGGTGACGATCACCTTTTGCGACCGTCTGACAAGCAGAGTCCATGGGGGGAAACCAGATTCACTTAACAACCGTGTGACTCACTGAACAACTGCAGCGTTTCACTTAACAACCGTGGCAAGGTCGTAAAATGGGGCAAAACTCAAATGAACAAATGTCCTCCTCAACCGCAGAAAATTTGAGCTCCACTGTGGGCGTAAGTTGAGGACCTACCTGTAGCGTCGCTCTAGAGGAATATTTTGCAGCTTCCACCGGGACGGAATTGTGACCAGTTTTTCACACTTACGACTGTTACAGCAACCCCGTCAGGGGATCAAAATTCGGATGCTGGGCAACTGGTTCCTGTTTGCGACGGGTTGCGCCCTCGAAAATAGAGGACCGAACCCGTAATAATGACGGGCAAGTCCTTGTCTTATAACCACAATTGAGCCTAATATTTCACTTCCAAAGCAAGACGGTTCTTAAATGAATTGTGCCCCAGGGCACAATATATTGTGCTGCAGTTGTTAAGGGAATCACTGTAGTTGTTAAGAAGACGGTTGTGAAGTGAATCCGGCTTCCCGCCCGATTTTGCGTGTCGGAAGGTCGCAAAAAGGGATCATGTGACACCCCCCGGGGAGGCTGTGACCATCATAAATACGAATCAGTTGCCGAGTGTAGGCAGGACAAGAAGCCATGGATAGAAACTTATCAAGGAGAGAAGCAACCTGGAATTAAGGAGGAATTTACTGACAGTGAGAACAATTAACCAGTGGAACAACCTGCCACCAGAAGAGGTGAATGCTACAACACTGGAAGTTTTTAAGAAGAGACTGGACAACTACTTGTCCTGAATGGTGTAGGTTCTCCTGTTTGAGCAGGAGGTTGGACTAGATGACCTCTGAGGTCCCTTCCCAACTTTATTATTATTATATTAATTTTGATCATGTAACCGCGGGGATGCTGCAACGGTTGTAAGTGTGAAGAACAGTCGGGAGTGCCTTTTTTTCAGCGCCGTTGTAACTTTGAGCGGTCGCTGAACAGACCGCTGTAAATCGAGGAGTAACTGCACCTCCGCTGCCTCCAAGGGGCGAACCGGAAGTCCTGGAAGATTCCCGGAGAGAGAGGAAGGCGGAAAGACCCCGTCCTTCCCTTACGAGTTTACCATCTCTTCGCGGAGCTTCGCCATCTCTTCCTTCTCCCGATCCTCCTCGACGCGCCGCGTCGCCTCCTGCAGCCGCGCCTTCTCCGCCTCCAGCTCGGCTAGCCGCTTCTCGAACTCCTGGCGCTCCCTGGCCCGTCGCTCCGTGGCCAGCTCGAAGTGATCGGGCACTGCGGAAGCAAAAAGGAGAGGCGCGGGGTTGAGAAAGAGGAGACGTCGAGAGGGAGACGGTCCTCAAAGTTCCTGGGCATGTATCGATTAACGAAGCGCAAAGGGGAAGGGATGGCGGATGAGGGCACCGACTTGTTCCATTTCAAAATAACTTCGCTTCTGGTTTCCTACTACCATGTTTTCCCCAAAATAAGACCCACTCCCAAAATAAGCCTGAGTCTGATTTTTTAGGGGGTGGGACTAATATAAGCCGTACCCCAAAAATAAATCCGGGAAGGGAGGAACCGTGGGCAGCACAAACAGCGGTGAGCACACGGGGGCCGACAGCCTGCCGGCCCAGAGCGGAGAAGTCCGCCTGCTAAAGAAGCTTCTTGACTGGAGGCTAAAGTATATAAGGAATGGCTGCTGGAATGGGGTCTGTCTAGTTTAATGAAGAGAAGGACAAGGGGGGACAGGACAGCAGCCTTCCAGTATCTCAGGGGCTGCCCCAAAGAAGAGGGAGTCAAGCTATTCTCCAAAGCGCCTGAAGGCAGGACAAGAAGCAACGGATGGAAACTAATCAAGGAGAGAAGCAACCTAGAACTAAGGAGAAACTTCCTGCCAGTGAGAACAATTAACCAGGGGAACTACCTGCCTCCAGAAGCGGTGAATGCTCCAACACTGGAAGTTTTTAAGAAGAGACTGGACGGCCATTTGTCCGAAATGGTATAGGGTTACCTGCTTGTGCAGGGGGTTGGACTACATGACCTCCAAGGTCCCTTCCAACATCATCATCATCATCATCATTATTATTATTATTGATCATCATCGCACAGTCAGCCAGATGTTCAGATGCCAATGGTGTCCACGTGGTGCTCCAGTTGTTTTGGGATTGCACCCAAGGCGCCTATTGCTATTGGTACTACCCTTGCTTGCCTTTGTCACAGTCTTTCTATTTCTATGTCTTTGTATTTTGTGATCTTCTCCAGTTCTTTCTCCTCTATTCTGCTGTCTCCGGGCACTGCCACGTCCACTACCCAGACTACTACTACTACTACTACTACTACTACTACTACTACTACTACTACTACTACTTCTTCTTCTTCTTCTTCTTCTTCTTCTTCTTCTTCTTCTTCTTCTTCTTCTTCTTCTTCTTCTTCTTCTTCTTCTTCTCTTCCTTCTCCTTTCTTCTCCCTCCTTCTTCTCCTTCTCCCTTCTTCTCCCTCCTTCTTCTCTTCCTTCTCCCTTCTCCTCCTTCTTCTTTTTCTCTTCCTTCTCCCTTCTTCTCCCTCCTTCTTCTTGTTATTATTATTATTATTAAAAACAAGAAAGTCCAGTTGCCTCTTGATAAACAAAAAAAAAAAAAAGAGCAAAGGGATGTCCAGTCTCTTCTTCAAAACCTGCAGGCCACCTCAGGTGGGCCACACACACCTGGAGACGCCTCACCTGAAGCCAGCTTGCTGTCCTTCCTGGGAACAAAAGGGTCCTGGCGCAACACCTGGCTGGGGTGAGCTTTGAAGACGGCAGCTTCCTTCTGGCGCTGCAGCTCTTCCTTCAGCTAGGGAAGGAGGGAAATGGGGAGGGAAAAAAAAAGAGACGGTTAGGGGGAAAAGGTCCGAAAAATCTGGATAGTTCTCGATTTACGGCCGCAACAGAGCCCCCAGGCAGTCGTTAAGCGAGTTTTTGCCCCCCGTTCTGCAGCTTCTGTGGCCAGGCTAGTTAAGCAGATCACTGCAGTCGTTAAGTTAGTAACCCGGTTGTTAATATTTCTATTTAGCATCTCTAAACAAAAAGTTCTTGGCGCAGATTCTTAGTCCAGCCCTTCCCCCCCCAACACGTTCTTTAGCCCTAACAATTGGGGGGGGGGNGGGGGGGGGGAGAAAACCTTTGAGAAATACTATTTTTTATGCAGGTAATTTACAGAATATTCTACATTAGCACCCCATTTTGGAGCTGAGACAAGTTTTAGGACAAATAATAATAATAGTAATAATAATAATAATGAGGAGGAGGAGGAGGAGGAGAAGAGAGGAGGAGAAGGAGAAGAAAAAGAGAGGAGGAGGAGAAGGAGAAAGAGAAGAAGATGAAGAGAGGAGAAGAAGGAGGAGAAGGAGAAGGAGAAGGAGGAGAAGGAGGAGGAGAAGGAGAAGGAGAAGGAGAAGGAGAAGGAGAAGGAGAAGAAGAAGAAGAAGAAGAAGAAGAAGAAGAAGAAGAAGAAGAAGAAGAAGAAGAAGAAGAAGAAGTTGGAAGGGAACTTGGTGGTCATCTAGTCCAACCCCCTGCTAGCATTGGGTTTGGATGACACTTACAATCCATGTATGGAGGTTTTTAAGAGAAGGCTCTTCAGGCTAAATTAACTTCTCTCTCTGCAACCTCGGGCCCTCCCTTTTTAAATTCCCAAAACGTAAATTCATCCAGAGATACGCATGGAGATTTGCAAAGTTTTCTCCCACGGAGGAAAAGAGCATCGAAAACGCCCTCGTGGTGATCTGAGGCTCACGTTCCCACCTTCTCAGAGCCCTTTCTGAGCCCCCACACGGACGGGGGGGAGGGGAGGAACCGAACCCAGCTCCAAATTCTTCTCATTTGGGGGTGGGTGGGTCAAGGGAAAAAAAAGGCCTCCCAAACCAGCCGGATCCTACACACACACACACACAGCCCCTCCGCCCCAACGGCTTCACCTTACCTGCTGCTGCCACATCTCTTGCCGGACGGCTCCGCGGGCATCGATGGCCAGCTGGAAGGGCTCGGGCTTGGTGGCGCTCTTCACCTTCTTCTCCGGCAGGCTGACGTGGTCAAACTGAGGCAGGGGGTGGGCTTTGAACTTGGGCACCTGCGGGTAGGACAAGGCCAGAGAGAGAGAGAGAGAGAGTGAGGAGAGGTCGAGGGAGGCCGCTAGGCTGCTTTCACTGGGGTTGGGGCTGCTTTCCAGACCCCGCCCTTCGCTGTCATCCCAACTTGTGCTCAGGGAAAGAAGATGCAGGGAGTACTCTAATAATAATAATAATAATAATAATAATAATAATACCATCAAACATCCACATCTGCCTATCCCAGGTCCTGGGTAAGGACTCGATAGGTAGACAAAATGCCAAATCCAGTCTGAACATCTGGCTGATTGTGCGAGGATCCATAATAATAATAATAATAATAAAGTTGGAAGGGACCTTGGAGGTCATCTAGCCCAACCCCCTACTCAGGCAGGAAAAGGAGAGAAGCAACCTGGAACTAAGGAGAAACTTCCTGACAGTGGGAACAATTAACCAGTGGAACAACCTGCCTCCAGAAGCGGTGAATGCTCCAACACTGGAAGTTTTTAAGAAGAGACTGGACAGCCATTTGTCTGAAATGGTGTAGGGTTTCCTGCCTGAGCAGGGGGTTGGACTAGATGACCTTCAAGGTCCCTTCCAACTCTGATGATGTTCTATGTTCTAATTTCATCCCAGTGCAGCTGGGAAGAGAGAATCATGGTTTGGTTACATCCTAAACCAGGGGGTCTTCAAACTTGGCCCTTTTATGACTGGTGGACTTCAACTCCCAGAATTCCTCAGCCAGGCACACTGGCTGAGGAATTCTGGGAGTTGAAGTCCACAAGTCATAAAAGGGCCAGGTTTGAAGACCCCTGTCCTAGACCGTTTCAATCAATCAATCAGAATAGAGCTGGAAGGGACCTTGGAGGTCATTTAGTCCAACCCCCTGCTCAGGCAGGAAACCCTATACCATTTCAGACAAATGGCTGTCCAGTCTCTTCTTAAAAACCTCCAGTGATGAACACCCACAACTTCTGGAGTCAAGTTGTTCCACTGGGTTAATTGTCCTCCCTGGCTGAGGAATTCTGGGAGTTGAAGTCCACAAGTCATAAAAGGGCCAAGTTTGAAGACCCCTGCCCTAAACAGAGACACTGAAGATTCCCAGGGCTGCAGGCCCTTTCAAAGAAGACGGTGGTGGTGACGGTGGTGACGGTGAGTCAACAAAGCAGGGTCCTTTTCCACCAGAAGGGACCTTGGAGGTCTTCTAGTCCAACCCCCTGCTCAAGCAGGAGATCCTAGACCAGGGGTAGGCAACCTTGGCTCTTTTATGACTCGTGGACTTCAACTCCCAGAATTCCTGAGTCAGCTATGCTGACTCAGGAATTCTGGGAGTTGAAGTCCACGAGTCATAAAAGAGCCAAGGTTGCCTACCCCTGCCCTAGACCTTATCTCGTCCTGAAGTGTGACAAAGAAAATTTTTTTGTTTGCAACAACACAATTACTCTCTGGCAGCCAGAAGCTACTGGGGACAACAGGCTGATAAGGGAACTTGCATTTAGAGGCTGTTCCGCGTGGAAATTGGCGCTCGCTTATCCTAGCCTGACATTTTCGAAACCGGCGGGAACAGCCCGGGAGCCAAGAGCACTTTGCACAAGTGTTGAAAGAGCCACAGGAAACGCAGGTGGCAGGGCTGGGGGGGGGACGACAAGGGGGGGGGGCTGGGAAAGGAGCCTCCTTGGAGAACGCCAGCCGGAGACCTCCGAGACGTTCTCCTGACTTGTAGGTCACTTTCAGAGTTTTTGGCGGCCGGTGCAAAAATAACCCGAGGGCTTTTGTAACCCAGGAGAAAAGAGGCATCCTGTAGCGTCAAGGTGCGAGAATCCAGCTCGGCTGCGGTTGTGTGGATAGTGAGTCCCGGGCGAAGACTTCAGATCAGTTAGGCTGCAATGTCTCCCCCCCCCCCCCGCCGATCTCTACTTTGGTTGTTTCAAGTAATTTTTAATTGATTTATTTCTAACCGGCTTTTATTAATTTCCTAACTAAGTCAAGGGGGCGAACGGATCCAATGTAGATTCCTCCTTCTGTTTTCCTCCTCCTCCTCAGTGGTTGGGCTAAGAGGGAGGGACTAGTCCAAGGTCACCCAGCGGGCTTTCGTGCCTAAGGCGGGACTAGAACTCACCGTCTCCTGGGGATTGGCCCAAAGTTACCCAGTTGGCTTTCATGCCTGGCGGGACTAGAACTCACCGTCTCCTGGAGATTGGCCCAAAGTTACCCAGTTGGCTTTCATGCCTAAGGCAAGACTAGAACTCACCACCTCCTGGTGATTGGCCCAAAGTCACCCAGTGGGCTTTCATGCCTAGGGCAAGACTAGAACTCACCACCTCCTGGTGATTGGCCCAAAGTTACCCAGTTGGCTTTCATGCCTAGGGCAGGACTAGAACTCACCGTCTCCTGGAGATTGGCCCAAAGTTACCCAGTTGGCTTTCATGCCTAAGGCAAGACTAGAACTCACCACCTCCTGGTGATTGGCCCAAAGTCACCCAGTGGGCTTTCATGCCTAGGGCAAGACTAGAACTCACCACCTCCTGGTGATTGGCCCAAAGTCACCCAGCTGGCTTTCATGCCTAGGGCAGGACTAGAATTCACCACCTCCTGTTGATTGGCCCACAGTCACCCAGTTGGCTTTCATGCCTAAGGCGGGACTAGAACTCACCGTCTCCTGGAGATTGGCCCAGAATCACCAAGCCGGCTTTTACGCCTAAGGCGGGACTCGAACTCACCATCTCCTGGTGATTGGCCCAAAGTCACCCAGTTGGCTTTCATACCTAAGGTGAGACTAGAACTCACCGTCTCCTGGTGATTGGCCCAAAGTCACCCAGCCGGCTTTCATGCTTAAGACAGGACTAGAACTCACCACCTCCTGGTGATTGGCCCACAGTCACCCAGCTGGCTTTCATGCCTAAGGCGGGACTAGAACTCACTGTCTCCCACAATTTATATGAAGAACATATGAAGAACGGTTGCAGAAATTGGATATGTCTAGTCTAGTGAAAAGGACCAAGGGGGACATGATAGCAGTCTTCCAGTATCTCAGGGGCTGCCCCAAAGAAGAGGGAGTCAAGCTATTCTCCAAAGCGCCTGAAGGCAGGACAAGAAGCAATGGATGGAAACTCATCAAGGAGAGAAGCAACCTAGAACTAAGGAGAAACTTCCTGACAGTGAGAACAATTAACCAGTGGAACAACCTGCCTCCAGAAGCGGTGAATGCTCCGACACTGGAGGTTTTTAAGAAGAGATTGTCTGAAATGGTATAGGGTTACCTGCTTGTGCAGGGGGTTGGACTAGATGACCTCCAAGGTCCCTTCTAGCTCCGTTATTCTGTTCAATCCCCCTTGCTGCCAAAAGATTTGAGTGATTATCCCCACCGCGATCCTTTGTTGTTGATTTTATTGTTTTATTACTTTACTTCTGTTTACACTCCTTTTTCCTTCTGTTTTATTTTATTACTTTCATTTGGGCGTACACCAATTGGTGTACATTCAAAGTGACTATAATAAAGTTATTGTTATTATTATTATTTGTTCTTATTGTCATTCCTACAGGTAGTCCTCAACTTACAACCATTTGTTTAGTGACCGTTCAAAATGACAACGGCGCTGAAAAAAGGGACCAAGGACCATTTTTTTCCACACTTATGACCGTTGCAGCATCCCCGGGGTGGTCACGGGACCAAAATTCAGATGCTTGGCCACTGACTCGTCTTTACGACGGTCGCCGTATCCCGGGGGTCATGTGATCCCCTTTTGCGACCTTCTGATAAACAAAGTCAATGGAAAAGCCGGACTCACTTAACAACCGTGTGACTCATTGCACATCTGTGCAGTGACTCGCTTAACGACGGGGGCGAGAAAGGTGGTAAAACGGGGACAAATTCATCAACAAATGTCTCGCTTAGGAGCAGAGATTTTGGGCTGAACGGTGGCCGTTAAGTCGAGGACTCCCTGCATTTTCCCCGTCTCGTTCCTTTCTCGCCTTTTATTTGATGGTTCTATTATTTTATTTCGGTTCCGTTTATTCTGCTTTAATTTTTCTATTTTGTTTTTTAATTATAGCCCCTTGGCAAGGCGGGGGGGCAAATAAATTTGACAAATCAATCATCAAAAGAGCCTCTTTCGATTAAAATTTGGTGGAATATTCAAAATGTTTTTAAGAAAAAGATAAAAGTTTCCACCGCAGATATTTTTGTTAGGTATTATGGAAGATTTGGATGTTAAAGAAATGAATTTGATGTTGAATCTTATAACAGCTGCAAGATTACTGGTAGCTCAATATTGGAAGATGGATCGTTTGCCTACTATAGAAGAATGGTCGTTTAAAGTGTCAAATTTAGCAGAAATGGCCAAGATTTCCGCTTATGTGAAGGACCATTCACAAGAAAGATATATTTCGGTTTGGAGAAGATGGATAGATTATATCCAGAATAAATATGGGACTGAAAAGTTCCATTTGGTGTTTGAGTAAATTTTAGAGTATTATTATTGTTAATATTTTATAATAGTTTTATTTTTTCTACTATTTTTAATTATTATTATGATATTATTATTTGTTCATTATTGTGTTTAACTTTAATTTACTTAAATTTATTTAAAAAGGGAGTTAAAGTGCTTTATAGATTTGGTAATTTAATAGTTGGTTAATGTTATTTAGATTATGATTATTATTTGTTAACCCTGTAAATAGCTCTGGGAAGTGGGGGAGAGGGGGGGTTGGGGGTGGGAAAATATTGTAATCTTTATAAAACTTTTAATTAAAAAAAAAAGAGCCTCTTTCAAACGGCGCCTACCTCCTCCTTCTGCAGCTCTTCGATTTTTTTCTCTTTCTGAAGCAGCCGCTCCTTGTCCCGGGCGTCAAACGAGAACGGGCACGGCTCCACCAGCCTCGGCTCTGCCGGTTTGGGTTTGAAGGGCACCCCTGGATGCGGCATCGGCTTGGCTTTGATCACAGGGGCCACGTCCTCCACCTGCAAGAGAGGCCGGCATCAGCAAGGAAAACGGGGGGAGACAAGCACAGCCCACCTACTGGGGGAGACCCAGGGACAGAGACGCCAGTCTAATAATAATAATAATAATAACAATAATAATAATAACAGTGGACCACCTGGTCAGCTGCTGCAAGAAGATCGCACAGAGTGACTACAAGCAACGGCATGACAAAGTGGCAACAATGGTGCATTGGAAGATTTGCAAGAAATATCATTTGCCTGCAAGCTCAACAAAAAGTCGCCAGTCCAGGGGAGGCTGCGTAAAGATCCTCAGCCCAGGGAGATCAACCAGGGCTTCAGAACAGCCTGGAGGGGAAAGCGGCTGCTCAACCATGAGTGCAGATACCCCAGCGGTGCCCATCACCCCCCGAGGCCAAACCGAGGCCCGGCACGCAGCACATACCTTTTCTTTCGCTTCCTCTCTCACCAGGGCGCCCACTTTGTTTTTCAAGGCAAAAGCGGGCGACTTGGGGACGGTGATGGGAAGATGCTTCTTCTCAGGGACACCCTGCAAGGGAGGAAGGGTGGAAAGATCTAGGTGGTCAGTCCGGTTAGGCCACAGGGTGGAGAAGACCCAGCCACGCTACCGGCAACCGCAAAGGAAATCCCGCCTGGAATTCCTTGCTGGAGACCAGCGTCCCTCTCGGCACAAATGGAGACAGGATGGGAATGTCTTTCTATGATCAAGCACGGACACACACACACACCCCCACACACGCTTTAGGCCTTCATGGGAAGAATATTCTGCTCATATTGGAGCAAGATCACTCTGCATTCCGAGGATCTCTCCCCGTTCTGTCTAGTTGAGGCATCGGGTGGATCCCAAAGGTGTTACCTCTCTCCTTAGGAGTATGACTTCGTTGCTCGAATGCTTACGATTTATATTCTTTTATTTAGCACCCTAGTATGAGTTATGTTGTTTGCTTATTTAGTATTCTATGACTATCGCTAAGTGTTGTATTTTAGGATTTATGATGAAGGTATTTTTATGTTGATTATGATCATGATTTATCACCTGTGGCTTCTATCTACACTGAGAGCTTATGGACCGGAGACAAATTCCTTGTGAGTCCAACCACACTTGGCCAATATTCTGTTCTCTTCTATTCTGTTGTTATGTTCTATTCTGCTCTACCCTATTCTGTATTTCTGTTCTATTCTATTCTATTCTTATTTCTAATTCTATTCTGTTCTATTCTATTCTTATTTCTTATTCTATTCTTATTTCTAATTCTATTCTACTCTATTCTATTCTTATTTCTAATTCTATTCTGTTCTATTCTATTCTTATTTCTAATTCTATTCTATTCTTATTTCTAATTCTATTCTATTCTATTCTTATTTCTAATTCTATTCTATTCTATATTTCTGTTCTATATTTCTATTCTATTCTATTCTATTCTGCATTCTATTTTCTTTTCTATTTTATTCGGCTCTATTCCATTCTACAATCTGTTGTCTCTATTCTATTCTATTCTATTCTATTCTATTCTATTCTATTCTATTCTATTCTATTCTATTCCTTATTATCTATTCTATTCCTATTCTATTCTATTCTGCATTCTATTTTCTTTTCTATTCTATATTCTATTCTGTATTCTATTCTATTTTATTCTATTCTAATTTCCTTTTCTATATTCTATTCCATTCCATTCCATTCCATATTTTCTATTCTATTCTATTCATCAAATGCAACAAAGACATCAATGATATGTGGAAGGATCTAATAAAAAGCATTTCAGGCAGTCCTCGATTGACAAGCACAACGGAGGCCAAAATTTCTGTTGCTAAGTGAGGCATTTGTAAAGTGAATTTTGCTCCCTTTTACGACCTTCCTTGCCATGGCTGTTAAACGAATCACTGCTGACGTTAAGCCAGTCACACGGTTCTTAAGTGGTTTCCTCATTGAGTTTGCTCATCAGAAAATTGCAAAAGGGGGATCATGTGACCTTTACGACCTTCCCTGCCACTGTCGTTAAGTGAATCACTGCGGCGAATTAAGTAAACTACTGTTCAGACAGTCAGTCAGTCTGCCTTCCCCGTTGGAAGGCGGTAAAAGGGGATCACGTGAGCTCAGGACACTGCAACCGTCGTAAGGACACGCCAGTTGCCGAGCCTCCAAGTTTTGATCACGTGACCACGGGGAGATGCCGCAACGATCGTAAGTGTGAAAAATGGACCTAAGTCACATTTTTCAGGTAACTGTCAACAGTCTTTAAACCAGGGGTAGGCAACCTTGGCTCTTTTATAACTCGTGGACTTCAACTCCCAGAATTCCTGAGCCAGCCATGCTGAGGGGAAAGGGAGAGGTTTCCAAGCTGAGCCAGGCTGGCTCAGGAATTCTGGGAGTTGAAGTCCATGAGTCATGAGGGGGCGATAGTTCCCCCATGCTGGCTGAGGAATTCTGGGAGTTGAAGTCCACGAGTCATGAAGGGGCCATAGTTCCCCCATGCTGGCTGAGGAATTCTGGGAGTTGAAGTCCACAAGTCATGAAGCGGCCATAGTTCCCCCATGCTGGCTGAGGAATTCTGGGACTTGAAGTCCACGAGTCATGAGGGGGCCATAGTTGCCCCATGCTCGCTCAGGAATTCTGTGAGTTGAAATCCACCAGTCATAAAAGGGCCAAGTTTGAAGACCTCTGGTTTAAATATTTAAATATTTTTTCCTCACGGTCACGTGATCAAAATTCAGACATATGGGCAGGGGTAGGCACCCATGGCTCTTTTATGACTCTTGGACTTCAACTCCCAGAATTCCTCAGCCAGCCATGCTGAGGGGAAAGGGAGAGGTTTCCAAGCTGAGCCAGGCTGGCTCAGGAATTCTGGGAGTTGAAGTCCACGAGTCATGAGGGGGCCATAGTTCCCCCATGCTGGCTCAGGAATTCTGGGAGTTGAAGTCCACCAGTCATAAAAGGGCCAAGGTTGCCTACCCCTGGCCTAGACCAGTTTTTCTCAAACCTTGTTAAGATGGGGGGACATCAACTCCCAGAATTCCTCAAGGCAGCTGCCTAGACCAGTGTTTCTCAGCAACTTGAAGGTACGACCGAGTCCTTAAGACCCTCAACTTCAGGTGCTCAGTACTCCCCCGGTATCAAGGGGGTACGACCGAGTCCTTAAGACCCTCAACTTCAGGTGCTCAGTACTCCCCGCCATAGTTCCTCCATGCTGGCTCAGGAATTCTGGGAGTTGAAGTCCACGAGTCATGAGGGGGCCATAGTTCCCCCATGCTGGCTGAGGAATTCTGGGAGTTGAAGTCCACCAGTCATAAAAGAGCCCAGGTTGCCTGCCCCTGCACTAAACGAAAGACGGTGTGTCAAGGACAGCCTGTTTCTCACAACATCTAAGCCTGACATCAGCAGACTCTCCCCCCCACCTTGGGTAAAATAATCCCCCTTTTTCGAGAAGATGGCCACCCAGCCGCAATTACCACCACGTCTTCCAGGATCTTGGTCGGGCAGGGCCTGGAGTGGAACTCGAAGGGCTCCTCTTCCTGGACCTTCTTGGTCTCCCGTTCCTGGATCCGTTTCTCCATTTCCAGGTTGAAGCCGATCGGCTTGGTCAGCTCTTTCACGGGGGGCTTCTTGGGCAGGAGGGGGCCGCCCTCCAGGATGCGGTGGTTGAGCTCCTGAGCCTTGAATCTGTACCTGTTGGACAGTGGGAGCAGATGGTCAATGGGAAAGCCCTCGGGGGGGCTCTGAGGACTGAACAGGGGGGGTCCAGCCAATTAGCCGACGGGAAACTTTATTCAAAGCCTCCAATTATATGCTAAAGGATATAAGGAACGGCTGCTGGAATTGGGTCTGTCTAGTTTAATGAAGAGAAGGACGAGGGGTGGCATGATAGCAGCCTTCCAGTATCTCAGGGGCTGCCCCAAAGAAGAGGGAGTCAAGCTATTCTCCAAAGCGCCTGAAGGCAGGACAAGAAGCAACGGGTGGAAACTCATCAAGGAGAGAAGCAACCTGGAACTAAGGAGAAACTTCCTGACAGTTAGAACAATTAATCAGTGGAACCACCTGCCTCCAGAAGCGGTGAATGCTCCAACACTGGAAGTTTTTAAGAAGAGACTGGACAGCCATTTGTATAGGTTTCCTGCCTGAGCAGGGGGTTGGACTCGATGACCTTCAAGGTCCCAACTTTACTATTACTATTATTATTATTATTATTATTATTAATAATAATAATAATAATAATAATAATAATAATAATTATTATTATTATTATTATTGCTTGAGTAAGCCAACAACAGCTTGGTGGAGAGCTAAAAATTCTTTACACAGCCTGGCACCACATTATCTGAAGGACTGACTTCCCCTACCGCCGTGGTGGCCAACCTATGGCACGAGTGCCACGCAGAGCTTTCTCTGTGGGCATGCGCGCCGTCGCCCCAGTTCTAGACCTTCAGCTGGGTTTTATAAAACCTTTTCGCTTTAGGCCTCCGCCGCCATGTGCAAAAAAAAAAAGTTCAATCAATCAATTTCAACCTCTCACGGGAAAAAAAATCTCGCAAAGTTGGAATTGATTGATTGAACTTTTTAGTTCCGCCCAGTCTGCCGTTACCACTGCAGCCACACCCAGCCAATGGGCCACACCTACCCCAAGGATTTGGGGGGGGGCTCAACCACTGATTACCCCACACATCAGCCTACTCCCCACCCCATACTCCCAGAAGGGGCTGGGAAGCATGGCCATTGTAATCCAAAGGATCATCCTGCCTGAGCAGGGGGTTGGACTAGATCAGGGCTTTTCAACTTTTTCACCCAATGTACCACTTTTAGGAGATGGCAACATCCGAGGACCACCAGTCGCCTAGCAAGGTGTCAAAAACTTGATGACCCCCCCCAAAGGAAAAAAGTGATGAAGTACAGGTAGTCCTTGACTTACAACAGTTCGCTTAGTGACTGTTCGAAGTTACAATGGCACTGAAAAAAGGGCCCCCCAAGCCACAGCCGAGCAAGACGCCTGTCTGCCTGCCCGACCGCGCTCTTCCTCCTGTCCGAGGTTTTCATTGTTGTGAGCATTTCTGTTGAGGATTGGAAGTGGTGGTGGGGTGGGGGGGTGTTTGGCTTTTATTCCCCCCCCCCGGCTGCTGGGTGGTTGCAGCAGGTTTTGGTCACCTCACATGACCCTGGGACACTGTGACCGTCATAAATATGAATCAGTTGCCAAGCATCTGAATGTAAATCACAAGACCCTGGAGAGGCTGCAACATTCCAGCTGATCGGCGCTTCTTCGGGGCTCAGCAGAAGCGCCAGGATCAGTGCTGCTTTCCAGCTGATCGGCACTTCTTCAGGGCTCAGCAGAAGTTCCAGGATCAGTGTCAAGCTCCAGCTGGAGCCTGGCGCTGATCCTGGCGCTTCCACTGAGCCCTGACAGCCCCAAAGAAGCGCCGATCAGCTGGAAAGCGGCACTGATCCTGGCGCTTCCGCTGAGCCCTGACAGCCCTGCAGCTCCAGCCGTCTCTCACTCAGGCTTGTGCGGTGCTGCCACCGGTTCAGCTCATTCCCCTCCCCCACTACCCCTTTTCTAGGATGGTCGCGTACCACAGGTGGTACCCGTCCCACTGGTTGAAAAGCCCTGGACTAGATGACCTCCAAGGTGCCTTCCAGCCGTGTCCTGATTGAATGTTCTGCTCACCACCCAGAATCCACTGGAGTTAGGCAGCCAAACAATTCAATACATACATACATACATACATCAATGAAAACTCACTGTTGGAGCTTCAAGATTTCCTCGTTTTCCAGTTCCGCTGCGCTCTTGCAGGTGATGGGTCTCGAGCGGCTTCTGGTTTCCAGGCGGGGGGTTTTGGGGTGGGTCAGTCCGGGTTTTAAAGGCCTGCTTGGACCTGTGCCAAAGACAGCCGAGAAGCCAGAGGCTGCCAATCAGAACGGAAAAGGCCACGGGAGGGAGGCTAAGCACTGCGAGTTTGACACATACACGGTGGGGGAAGAAATGTATTCAAATTGATTTATTGATGTATTCATTCAATTTATTCCAAAAAAAAAAAAAAGATTGCGTCCCAAAGGTGAGCCTGAATTTAAGAAATTAGACGTAAGGGAAAGATAAAACAAGCAAAGCCCACTCAACTGCCAGTTTGACCTTCGCCTGGCCATTGGCACAAAGTCAGTCGCCCGGTTGGTTTTCATGAGTAAAGCAGAACTAGAACTCTCAGTCTCCTGGTGATTGGCCCAAAGTCACCCAGCCGGCTTTTATGCCTAAGGCGGGACTAGAACTCACCGTCTCCTGGTGATTGGCCCAAAGTCACCCAGTGGGCTTTCATGCCTAAGGCGGGACTAGAACTCTCCGTCTCCTGGTGATTGGCCCAAAGTCACCCAACTGGCTTTCATGCCTAAGGCGGGACTAGAACTCACCGTCTCCTGGTGATTGGCCCAAAGTCACCCAGCTGGCTTTCATGCCTAAGGCGGGACTAGAACTCACCGTCTCCTGGGGATTGGCCTAAAGTCACCCAGCTGGCTTTCATGCCTAAGGCAGGACTAGAACTCACCGTCTCCTGGTGATTGGCCCAAAGTCACCCAGCCGGCTTCCATGCCTAAGGCGGGATTGGAACTCATGGTCTCTCCCTTTCTAGCCCGGAGCCTTAACCACCAGACCAAATGGTCAATAGGTTCACTTAACAATTGTTAAAAAAATAACCTTGGAAAATCAGGTTAATACGGTAACTAGGTCTACCACCATCATGATTTAGGAACAAAATTGTGGCCTCAATCGGTCAAAAGTGGAGGACGGCCTGCCCCTCAGCCCGTGTGGATTTGTTTCAAGCACACTTTTATATCCTATCCACTAAGGGGAAACCCCTGCCCCACAATGTACAGCTGGCCTTTGGGAGAACAACACGCCCCTCTCCACAATGGGAAGATAGTAGCTGGCCCTTTAGTGCTTTCTTTTAAGCTGGGTTCTCCAAACCTGGCACCTTGTGGACTTCAACGCCCAGAATTCCTTAGCTGGCCAGCCATGAATTCTGGGAGCTGAAGTCCTAAAAGTTGCCAGGTTTGGAGACCAGTGGTATAGGGCAGCAGTAGGCAACCTTGGCTCTTTTATGACTCGTGGACTTCAACTCCCAGAATTCCTGAGCCAGCATGGGGGAACTACGGCCCCCTCATGACTCGTGGACTTCAACTCCCAGAATTCCTGAGCCAGCACGGGGGAACTACGGCCCCCGCATGACTCGTGGACTTCAACTCCCAGAATTCCTGAGCCAGCATGGGGGAACTACGGCCCCCTCATGACTCGTGGACTTCAACTCCCAGAATTCCTGAGCCAGCATGGAGGAACTATGGCCCCCCTCATGACTCGTGGACTTCAACTCCCAGAATTCCTGAGCCAGCATGGCTCAGCTTGGAAGCCTCTCCCTTTCCCCTCAGCATAGCTGGCTCAGGAATTCTGGGAGTTGAAGTCCACGAATCATAAAAGAGTCAAGGTTGCCTACCCCTGGTATAGGGTATCCTGCTTGAGCAGGGGGTTGGACTGGATGACCTCCAAGCTCCCTTCCCATTCTATATTCAGTAAGACTCCAAGGATTCTGGAGGCGACCAAGGATACAGCAGATTCTGACAAACTCTGGTCTTGGACAGGGCTCCCCAAAGCTGGCAACTTGAAGGCTTGTGGACTTCAACTCCCAGAATTCTTCAGCCAGCCAGCCTGCCACGAATTCTGGGCGTTGAAGTCCACAAGTCTTAAAAGTTGCCGGCTTTGGAGACCCCCTGCGTTAATCTTCTTGTTCCCCATCGCAACTGTTATAATAATAATAATAAAGTTGGAAGGGACCTTGGAGGTCATCTAGTCCAACCCCCCCGCTCAGGCAGGAAACCCTACACCATGTTGCCCACGCACGAAAGAAAAGGAAGCTAGAGCCGGGCACGGGTTCAACGTTCAGAGTAAACGTGTCAACGCTGCTAACATCGGATGGTTTTGCTTTGACAACAGATGGAGATGCAGCCATTTTCTTCTATACAAAATGAGAATTCTCAATCTCAATCTACTACGACCCGTCCCCCTCCTTACACGTACTCTCAAGTCGATCTGTATTGTTATGACCTGGATCGCACTCTTGGTTCCACTAACTTTATTCTCTACTATTCTTAACCGCCCGACCTCTTGACCTTCCCCTTCGGACGTAAAGTTCGATTAACCTCTTACACTAAACACTGGGTTAATTGGAGGAGGGAATTGTGCTGTGATACTATGTGCTCAGGGGAGGGGAATCCAGTTTTTGGCTTCGACTGTGTTAGTGCCGATGTGTTGCTACTCAAAATAAAGATTCTTCAGAGCCCTCGTTAGCTGACCCCGATGGATGGAGCAAGCCACCATTGGGCTCCCGTAACACAGCCTGCGACAGAGGTTGCCAGAAAGGGATTCTTACCTTCTTCCTCCTTCCGGCCACACAGATGGTAGCGCTGAGGAGTGCGTTTCTGAAAGTTTTCCACCTGTTGGGCCAGCGAGACGTATTCGCCGGGGGCCTCGTCCAGTTTCCGCTTGTTCCCGCAGGAGAGGTTAAACGGCTTCGGGATTGTGGGTCCCTTTGACATCCGGGACTGTGTTAAAAAAAAAGAAATTGGGGGGGGGCATTTGATAAAACAGTGGTTAGAAGAGATACTAATGCAGAACATTGAGCTAAAGCCAGAACTCTTTCTGCTGGGTATTACTAAGGATAGATACAATAAAGGATCCCTATACTTTTATTACTACACATGCTAACGGCAGCAAGATTAGTCTTTGCACAGAGATGGAAAAATAATGAGGCACCCTCAGAAGAAGAGGTAATAAATAAGATTTTATCCTGTGCTGAAATGGATAGGTTGACGTTAGAACTCAAGGATAAGAGTGAAACAGATTATTACGAAATCTGGAACAAATTGTATAATTGGTTGGGGGAAAAATAGATGGAAAAACTCTCTGATTCAGCAAAACACACTGATCAAGAAAGATCAAAGGAAAAATATTAAAAGATTAAAGTGAAAATTAAGAATAGAGATGACGGGATCTACCAGAGAGAATATTTAGGAAAAAAAAGAAACATTTGTTTGAACCTGTGGATTGTGAATTATAGAAATCAATTGATAACGATTTTTCTTTACCAATGTAAACCAAGCAAACACACTGTTAACCAACTATTATGTGATTTATGTTTTAAAAACCAATAAAGCTTATTAAAAAAAAAGACAGGGATATGGGATTTCTTGATCAAGCGTCTTTTTCTATCGCGATCAAAGCAGGCGCCGACCCGTTTAGAGTCATAGTCTGGACTGAGAAGCGAGCAGCAAAATTCCAGAAGAAAGCAATGGCAAACATCTCTTTAATTGTTGCCCATAAAAGTACATGGGTGTGTCCATGTGCTTATTCAAAGTTGAGCCAATGGAAGTGATTTGCCATTGGCAAAAGTTATAGCAATACAATCCTCAAATTTCCTGTTGATCACTATTAGCCAGCTGCAAGCATGCTTTAGTTTTTTAATGAACTAAACTCAACTCTTTTGAGCAATTCTTGTCCTTGCAGATTTCTTGGCAGCATTGTTGTTGCGTTCTCCAAGAATCCAAGCCTTGCTTGCAATAGGTCCTGTGGTGGTCTCCCATCCCAGGAGCCACCAAATCTGAACCTTTCAATTCCTGCTAATTAGTTGACCTTGGCTGAGAGTCTGTTCTCGATATCTTTCATTCAGTTTCACAATATATGGAATTTAAAAATTCTCTTGGCTTCATTTCCCCCCACCCCCTCCTTATATAGGGGGACTTGCTTTTTCCCCAATAACATTCTGCAAGTAGAACAAATAGTTTCATGGGGTTCTGGTCTACAGTGCACCCGGCTAGATTCCGCAAAAGAGCCGTGCTGGAACTCCCAAATGTGTTTTTCAAAAAGCAACTGGACTTCTTCAGTTGCTTCTTGGATGAGAAGCAAAACATTTTCAAGGAAAATAAACCAGTTGCCTTTGAAAAGCACCTTTGGGACAGCCTGTAAATCTTACTCCCCCCCTTCTTCCAGCTCAGGGCTTTTCAACCTTTTCACCCATTGTACCACTTTTAGGATATGGCAACATCCGAGTACCACCAGTCGCCTAGCAAGGTGTCAAAAACTTGATGACCAAAAAAAAGAAAAAAGGAAAAAAATGATAAAGTGCAGGTAGTCTTCGACTTACAACAGTTCGCTAAGTGACTCTTCGAAGTTACAATGGCACTGAAAAAAGGCCCCCCCAAGGCACAGCCGAGCAAGACACCCACCCGCCCGCGCTCTTCCTTCTGTCCGAGGTGTTCATTGTTGTGAGCATTTCTGTTGAGGATTGGCAGCGGGGGTGGGGTGGGGGGGGTGTTTGGTTTTTATTCCCCCCGGTCTGCTGGGTGGTTGCAGCAGGTTTTGGTCCCTTCAGATGACCCTGGGACACAGTGACCGTCATAAATATGAATCAGTTGCCAAGCATCTGAATGTAAATCACAAGACCCTGGAGAGGCTGCAACATTCCAGCTGATCGGCGCTTCTTCGGGGCTCAGCGGAAGCGCCAGGATCAGCGCTGAGCTCCAGCTGGAGCCTGGTGCTGATCCTGGTGCTTCCGCTGAGCCCTCACAGCCCCGATCAGCTGGAAAGCGGCACTGATCCTGGCGTTTCTGCTGAGCCCTGACAGCCCTGCAGCTCCAGCCGTCTCTCGCTCAGGCTTGTGCGGTGCTGCCACCGGTTCAGCTCATTCCCCTCCCCCGCTACCCCTTTTCTGGGATGGTCATGTACCACCTGCCAGGGGCCAATGTACCACAGGTGGTGCCCGTACCACTGGTTGAAAAGCCTTGTTCCAGCTCGCCGGAAGTGAAATTTAAGCTGTCCGCAACTCCGGAGAAGGCCGAAAAATGACAAAGGGACGAGAAGTGGGGGACGAAGAGACAAATTGGTGAAAATCAGCTTCTTATTCTAAGAATGCATGAAGGCAATTTGGGACAGGCTTACGGGAGGTTTCGCAATTCTCCTCTTTGACGCGGGTAAGGGACATTACAACGGTTTGTTTAGCGACCGCTCAGAGTTACAACGGCACTGGGAAAAAAGGACTTAGGACCGCCTTTCACGCTTACGACCGTTGCAGCTTCCCGGTGGTCACGCGATCAAAAATCCAGGCACTTTGGCAACTGACTCGTGTTTATGACGGTCGCAGCGTCCCCCGACAAGCAAAGTCAAAGGAGAAGCCGGATTCGCTTAACAACCGTGTGACCGGTTTAACGACGGCAGCGATTCGCTCAAGACACGTGGCCCGAAAAAGTCATAAAAGGGGGGCAAAAGTCGCTTAACAAATGTCTCGCTGAGCGACGTAAAATTTTAGGGCTCAACTGTGCTCGTAAGTCGAGGACTACTTGTGCAGGGATTCAGTTAACAATGGTGGCAAGCAAAGTTGTAAAAGGGAGCCAAACACAGTTAGCAAACCTCTCACTGAGGAAATTAGGGCCCAGTTTTGGTCGTAAGTTGAGGAGCAGCTGTGTAGGACTCAAAACCTGCCTTGTTCTGTTTTTCCATGCCAACTCTGCCCTATTCATCATCCCCTGGGCAATTCGCAGGTGTTCTCAAGTTACACTTCAGCCCATACCGTTGTCTGAAATGGTACTATAGGCTTTCCTGCCCGAGCAGGGGGTTTGTTGTGATTCCTCGCCAGCCGGTGGACCCGGCAGCTGAGTCCGAGGAATCAGAGGAGGAGGAGGGTCCTGGAGTGACATCAGAGTCAGAGGAAGGCTCTGAGGAGCTCTAAGACTTACAGTCGGACGAGGAGCCTGGCCCCTCTACTCGCACTCAGGCTGAGACACAGCAGTGCCGGGAGCCTAAGTTGGACAGTGATGAAGAACAGCTGGGACAAATCCCGGATGCACGAAAGCGCAGACAAGAGAGTAGGACAGAGGGTTGCAATGGGCCGGCTCCAAAGGCAAAGAAAAAGGTATTAGGAAGCCATGCCTGGGCTGCATCATAAAAGGGAAGGTGTGGGAGGGGCTGGTGGACGTTTGTGTTAAGGAATCGAGTTTGTGTGAACTGTGTTTGTTTGCCTTGGACATTGATTCAGGTCTGTGAATAATAAAAGGGGATCGTTTTTTTTCCTGCGGTTCCAGCCTGCTGAGTTGGAAGAGGGGTTTCTCCTTGTGAGCATAACAAAGGCTGGGACAGAACAGGGTTGGACTAGATGACCTCCAAGGTCCCTTCCCACTTTATCATCATCATGATTATTATTATTAACCCCAGCCGAAGGGTCTCACCGGAGAAGGCGGGTGTTTCCTGAGGGCGGCTGTGAAATCCAGCTCCTTGTACTCCGCGGCTGGCTGGCCTTCGCTGTGCTGCTTGATCCGCTCGTCGGTGCAGAAGTGGAAATCCATCGGCTTGGTGATGTGGCTGGCCGCCTTCACGGGGAGCCCTGGCCGGGAGAAAGAGAGAGCGGAGAAGTCAGCCGGGGGCCGCCGTTCAAAGGCGAGCGAGGTCCGTTTGTGGTCTCTGAGCTCGGTTTGTTTTCTTCTAGACGTCTCACGACCCAGCTAGGGAGCATCATCAGGGCTAGAAGGGAAGGGGGTTTGTGGAGAGAAGAAAAGAGAAGAGGAGGGGGAAGAGGACTGTGGGGTCCTTGATGCTCTCTGAGCTTAGTTATTTTCTTGCAGGCCTTTCATGACCCAACTAGGGAACATCATCAGTGCTACAAGAGAGAGGGTTTGCAGAAAGGAGGAGGAGGAGGAGGAGGAGGAGGAGGAGGAGGAGGAGGAGGAGGAGAACCACTGTGGGGTCCTGGGTGCTCCCTGAGCTTGTTTTATTGCAGACATTTCATGACTCTACTAGATAACAGAATCAGTGCTAGGAAGGAGGAGGAGAACTGTGGGGTCCCTGGTGCTCTCTAAGCTCGGTCATTTTCTTCCAGACATCTCATGACACAGCTAGGGAACATAATCAGTGCTAAGACAGGGGAAGGTTTGAGGAGGAAGAAGAGGGGTTTTGTTTTTTGCAGACGTATTAAGATCAGGTTAGGAAGCCTCATCCGTGCTACAAGGGAGGAAGAAGGAGGAGGACTGTGGCCTCCCTGGAGCTCTGAGCTGGGTTATTTTCTCGCTGGCATCTCATGACCCAACTAGGGAACGTCATCAGCGCTGGAAGGAATCGTATATCGACCGAGAGCAAACCTCATTCCCTTCTAGCATTAAAAAGGTTACCTAATTGGAAATGAAACGTCTACAAGAAATCAAAGCAAGCTCAGACTTCACTGAGGACCCCACAGTCCTCCTCCTTCTTTCTGCAAACTCCACTCCCTTCTCGTACTGATGTTGTTACCTAGTTTGCTCAAGAGACGTCTTCAAGAAAACACACCAAGAGGGCACCCCAGTCCACTCCTCCTCCTCCTTCACTCCGCAAACACCCCTCCTCTCTCGCAACTGATGATATGACCCAGCTGGGGGATAAAACGTCTTCAAGAAAAAAACCCAACCTCAGAAAGCTCCAGGGATCAAACAGCTCAACTGGGCTACAAATAATCTGATTTACTAGATACAGGGGTAGGCAACCTTGGCTCTTTTATGACTGGTGGACTTCAACTCCAAGAATTCCTGAGCCAGCATGGGGGAACTATGGCCCCCTCATGACTGGTGGACTTCAACTCCCAGAATTCCTGAGCCAGCTATGCTGAGGGGAAAGGGAGAGGTTTCCAAGCTGTGCCATGCTGGCTCAGGAATTCTGGGAGTTGAAGTCCACGAGTCATAAAAGAGCCAAGGTTGCCTGCCCCTGCCTAAATGCCTGAATTTTGATCATGTGACCGTGAGGAAAAAATATTTAAATATCTAAACCAGAGGTCTTCAAACTTGGCCCTTTTATGACTCGTGGACTTCAACTCCCAGAATTCGTGAGCCAGCATGGCTCAGCATGGAAGCCTCTCCCTTTCCCCTCAGGGTGGCTGGCTCAGGAATTCTGGGAGTTGAAGTCCACGAGTCATGAGGGGGCCATAGTTTCCCCATGCTGGCTCAGGAATTCTGGGAGTTGAAGTCCAGGAGTCATGAGGGGGCCATAGTTCCCCCATGCTGGCTCAGGAATTCTGGGAGTTGAAGTCCACGAGTCATGAGGGGGCCATAGTTCCCCCATGCTGGCTCAGGAATTCTGGGNATGTTTTACTCTTAAGAGTTAGAGTTAGATGATGCTGGGCAGGGGGAGGAATGTGCATGAGAGTTCAGCTAGACATAACAATACTGGACCTAGCGTGAGAACCAAGGTGATTGAAATAAGAGATGATAAGAATTGGCGGGCTGGAGAACTGGAAGGGGAAGCCTGCATTTCAAGCTAATTGGAGAATGTGATTTGTGACAGTTAATTGGAGGAGGGAATTGTGCTGTGATACTATGTGCTCAGGGGAGGGGAATCCAGTTTTTGGCTTCGACTGTGTTAGTGCCGATGTGTTGCTACTCAAAATAAAGATTCTTCAGAGCCCTCGTTAGCTGACCCCGATGGATGGAGCAAGCCACCATTGGGCTCCCGTAACACAGCCTGCGACAGAGGTTGCCAGAAAGGGATTCTTACCTTCTTCCTCCTTCCGGCCACGCAGATGGTAGCGCTGAGGAGTGCGTTTCTGAAAGTTTTCCACCTGTTGGGCCAGCGAGACGTATTCGCCGGGGGCCTCGTCCAGTTTCCGCTTGTTCCCGCAGGAGAGGTTAAACGGCTTCGGGATTGTGGGCCCCTTTGACATCCTGGACTGTGTTAAAAAAAAAATGGGGGGGGGGGGGCATTTGATAAAACAGTGGTTAGAAGAGATACTAATGCAGAACATTGAGCTAAAGCCAGAACTCTTTCTGCTGGGTATTACTAAGGATAGATACAATAAAGGATCCCTATACTTTTATTACTACACATGCTAACGGCAGCAAGATTAGTCTTTGCACAGAGATGGAAAAATAATGAGGCACCCTCAGAAGAAGAGGTAATAAATAAGATTTTATCCTGTGCTGAAACGGATAGGTTGACGTTAGAACTCAAGGATAAGAGTGAAACAGATTATTACGAAATCTGGAACAAATTGTATAATTGGTTGGGGGGAAAATAGATGGAAAAACTCTCTGATTCAGCAAAACACACTGATCAAGAAAGATCAAAGGAAAAATATTAAAAGATTAAAGTGAAAATTAAGAATAGAGATGACGGGATCTACCAGAGAGAATATTTAGGAAAAAAAAGAAACATTTGTTTGAACCTGTGGATTGTGAATTATAGAAATCAATTGTTAACGATTTTTCTTTACCAATGTAAACCAAGCAAACACACTGTTAACCAACTATTATGTGATTTATGTTTTAAAAACCAATAAAGCTTATTAAAAAAAAAGACAGTGATATGGGATTTCTTGATCAAGCGTCTTTTTCTATCGCGATCAAAGCAGGCGCCGACCCGTTTAGAGTCATAGTCTGGACTGAGAAGCGAGCAGCAAAATTCCAGAAGAAAGCAATGGCAAACATCTCTTTAATTGTTGCCCATAAAAGTACATGGGTGTGTCCATGTGCTTATTCAAAGTTGAGCCAATGGAAGTGATTTGCCATTGGCAAAAGTTATAGCAATACAATCCTCAAATTTCCTGTTGATCACTATTAGCCAGCTGCAAGCATGCTTTAGTTTTTTAATGAACTAAACTCAACTCTTTTGAGCAATTCTTGTCCTTGCAGATTTCTTGGCAGCATTGTTGTTGCGTTCTCCAAGAATCCTAGCCTTGCTTGCAATACGTCCTGTGGTGGTCTCCCATCCCAGGAGCCACCAAATCTGAACCTTTCAATTCCTGCTAATTGTTGACCTTGGCTGAGAGTCTGTTCTCGATATCTTTCATTCAGTTTCACAATATATGGAATTTAAAAATTCTCTTGGCTTCATTTCCCCCCACCCCCTCCTTATATAGGGGGACTTGCTTTTTCCCCAATAACATTCTGCAAGTAGAACAAATAGTTTCATGGGGTTCTGGGCTACAGTGCACCTGGCTAGATTCCGCAAAAGAGCCGTGCTGGAACTCCCAAATGTGTTTTTCAAAAAGCAACTGGACTTCTTCAGTTGCTTCTTGTATGAAAAGCAAAACATTTTCAAGGAAAATAAACCAGTTGCCTTTGAAAAGCACCTTTGGGACAGCCTGTAAATCTTGCCCTTCCCCTTCTTCCAGCTCAGGGCTTTTCAACCTTTTCACCCATTGTACCACTTTTGGCAACATCCGAGGACCACCAGTCGCCTAGCAAGGTGTCAAAAACTTGATGATCCCCCCCCCCAAAAAAAGGCACTCAGGCTGAGACACAGCGGTGCCGGGAGTCTAAATTGGACAGTGATGAAGAACAGCTGGGACAAATCCCGGATGCACGAAAGCGCAGGCAAGAGAAGAGAGTAGGACGGAGGGATGCAATGGGGCAGCTCCAAAGGCAAAGGAGAAGGCATTAGGAAGCCACGCCTGGGCTGCATCATAAAAGGGAAGGTGTGGGAGGGGCTGGTAGACGTTTGTGTTAAGGAATCGAGTTTGTGTGAACTGTGTTTGTTTGCCTTGGACATTGATTCAGGTCTGTGAACAATAAAAGGGGATCGTTTTTTTCCTGCTGTTCCAGCCTGCTTAGTTGGAAGAGGGGTTTCTCCTTGTGAGCATAACAAGGACTCACGTGGGCTGGGACAGAGCAGGATTGGACTAGATGACTTCCAAAGTCCCTTCCCACTTTATCATTATCATGATTATTATTATTAACCCCAGCCGAAGGGTCTCACCGGAGAAGGCGGGTGTTTCCTGAGGGCGGCTGTGAAATCCAGCTCCTTGTACTCCGCGGCTGGCTGGCCTTCGCCGTGCTGCTTGATCCGCTCGTCGGTGCAGAAGTGGAAATCCATCGGCTTGGTGATGTGGCTGGCCGCCTTCACGGGGAGCCCTGGCCGGGAGAAAGAGAGAGCGGAGAAGTCAGCCGGGGGCCGCCGTTCGAAGGCGAGCGAGGTTTCTTTGTGGTCTCTGAGCTCGGTTTGTTTTCTTCCAGACGTCTCACGACCCAGCTAGGGAGCATCATCAGGGCTAGAAGGGAGGGAGGTTTGAGGAGGAAGGAGAGGAAGAGGAAGGCGAGGGGAAGGACTGTAGGGTCCTTGACGCTCTCTGAGCTTAGTTATTTTCTTGCTGGCATTTCGTTACCCAACTAGGGAACGTCATCAGTGGTGGAAGGAATCGTATATCGACCGAGAGGAAACCTCATTCCCTTCTAGCACTGAAAAGGTTACCTCGTTGGGAAATGAAACGTCTACAACAGGGGTAGGCAACCCAAAACACTCAAAGAGCCACTTGGACCCGTTTCCCACCGAAACCAAAACACTGGGAGCCGCAAAACCCTTTTGATATCTAAAATGAAGATAACACTGCATATATCCTTTTTTACCTTTATTTTATAAAGGAAGGAAGGAAAAAAGAGAAAGAAAGAAAACAGGAAGAAAAGGAAGGAAGGAAGGAGGGAGAAAGGGAAGGAACGAAAAAAGACAAAGAAAGAAAGAAAACAGGAAGAAAAGGAAGAAAGGAATGAAGGAGGGAGGGAGGGAGGGGAAAAAGAAAAAGAAAGAAAGAAAACAGGAAGAAAAGGAAGGAAAGAAGGAGGGAGGGAAGGAAGCAAAAAAGAGAAAGAAAGAAAGAAAGAAAACAGGAAGAAAAGGAAGGAAGGAAGGAGGGAGGGAGGGAAGGAAGGAAAAAAGACAAAGAAAGAAAACAGGAAGAAAAGGAAGGAAGGAAGGAAGGAAGGAAGGAAGGAAGGAAGGAGGAAGGGAGGGAGGGAAGCAAAAAAGAGAAAGAAAGAAAATAGGAAGAAAAGGTAGGAAGGAAGGAAGGAGGGAGGGAGGGAGGGAAGGAAGGAAAAAAGAAAAAGAAAGAAAACAGGAAGAAAAGGAAGGAAGGAAGGAAGGAAGGAAGGAAGGAAAAAAGAAAGAAAACAGGAAGAAAAGGAAGGAAGGAGGGAGGGAGGGAAGGAAGAAAAAAAGAGAAAGAAAGAAAGAAAACAGGAAGAAAAGGAAGAAAAGGAAGATATAACTTTCAGCAAAGCTGTCTCCCTGCAAAAGAAACACATTCGCACGTATGTGAGCAGACCCGTGCCCCCACAAGCAGCTCCGCCATCAGCCTCGCACCAGATATTGTGGGATTTTTGCACGCAGTTTACTTGTGTGGTCGGGGGAGGAAGGAGGAGGAAGCTCGGAGCAGCCAGTCAGAACCCAGAGTGTTTGCTTATTGAGAGAGAGAGAGGGAAAGAAAGAGAGAGGGAGGGAGGGAAGACAAGAAAGGAAGAAGAAAGGCAGCAAGCGCGCCGGCCAGGTGACTCCGAGGCGGCTTTTGAGGAATGGCTTGCAAAGAGGAATGGCTTGCCTCGGAGCCGGTAGGTGCCCCTTTGGAAGAGGAAGAGGCAGCATCACACACACACACACACACACACACACACACACACACACACACACCGCTCTCTCTCAGGCTGGGAATCATTCCCTCCCTTCTCCTGGCCTACTGCAAGTCCCCGGAGAAAAAGGCAAAAAGGCGTACTCATCTTTCCAACAGTCCCTGCAGACTGAAGAGAAAAGAAAGAGGTTGGTGGGCAGTCCCACAAACCAAAGCAGGTCAACCAATCAATTTAAACTTCACAAGTTTGTTTGTTTGTTTTTTCGTGAGAAGTTTGAATTGATTGTTTAAACTTTTTTTAGTCCCATTTTTTTTTTTTGGGGGGGGGGGGGGTAGTACACTTTTTTTTTTTTGGAAATGCACATGGGCTGGGAGCCGCAGGAGCCGGCTTAAAGAGCCGCGTGCAGCTCCGGAGCCGCAGGTTGCCGACCCGTGGTCTACAAGAAATGAAGCAAGCTCAGAGTTCACTGAGGAGCCCACAGTCCTTCTTTCTGCAAACTCTGATCTCTTCCCGTACTGATGTCGTTACCTCGTTTCCTCATGAGACGTCTTCAAGAAAACACACCAAGAGGGCACCCCAGTCCGCTCCTCCTCCTCCTCCTTCACTCCGCAAACACACCTCCTTTCTGGCAACTGATGATATTACCCGGCTGGGTGATAAAACGTCTTCGAGAAAACAACCCAACCTCAGAGAGCACCAGGGAGAAAACAGCTTAACTGGGCTACAAATAATCTGATTTACTGGATACAGGGGTAGGCAACCTTGGCTCTTTTATGAATTCCTGAGCCAGCATGGCGGAACTATGGCTCCTTCATGACTCGTGGACTTCAACTCCCAGAATTCCTGAGCCAGCATGGGGGAACTATGGCCCCCTCATGACTGGTGGACTTCAACTCCCAGAATTCCTCAGCCAGCATGGGGGAACTATGGCCCCCTCATGACTGGTGGACTTCAACTCCCAGAATTCCTGAGCCAGCTATGCTGAGGGGAAAGGGAGAGGTTTCCAAGCTGTGCCATGCTGGCTCACGAATTCTGGGAATTGAAGTCCATGAGTCGTGAGGGAGCCATAGTTCCCCCATGCCGGCTCAGGAATTCTGGGAGTTGAAGTCCACCAGTCATAAAAGAGCCCAGGTTGCCTACCCCTGCCCAAATGCCTGAATTTTGATCATGTGACCGTGAGGAAAAAATATTTAAATATTTAAACCAGGGGTCTTCAAACTTGGCCCTTTTATGACTTGTGGACTTCAACTCCCAGAATTCCTGAGCCAGCATGGGGGAACTATGGCCCCCTCATGACTCGTGGACTTCAACTCCCAGAATTCCTGAGCCAGCCTGGCTCAGCTTGGAAACCTCTCCCTTTCCCCTCAGCATGGCTGGCTCAGGAATTCTGGGAGTTGAAGTCCACCAGTCACAAAAGAGCCAAGGTGGCCTATCCCTGGCCTGGAAGATCTTCTTCAAACCAGAAGGAAATAAAATGTCGACAAGAAACCAGCCAGAGGAAACGGTCTCCCAACCCCATCGAGACCTCACCTGGTCCAGCGATGGCCACTTTGAGGGACTCCTCGTTCTTCCTCCGCAGCTCGACCACCTCCTGCTGCAGCTTCTGCATCTTCTCCAACTCCAGCACCTCCGTGGACTTTCCTTTCATAGAGGCACCTCTGGTCCTGCGGATGGAAACACAACGGCGCCATTAAAAGAATGGATCAGCTGCACAGAGGCAGCGTGTATTTCAAGACCCCCCCTCCTGTAATGGAAGACCACCCTGAGGGAGGTCTTCCTCCTCTACCTATAGCTGGCTAGGGAATTCTGGGAGTTGAACTCCACCTATCTTAAAGCCTGCTGGCTGGGGAATTCTGGGAAGCGAAGGCTACCCAACGTAATGAAGAGAAGGACAAGGGGGGACATGATAGGAATCTTCTAGTATCTCAGGGGCTGCCCCAAAGAAGAGGGAGAGCAGGACAAGAAGCAACGGAGGGAAACTAATCAAAGAGAGAAGCAACCTAGAAGTAAGGAGAAATTTCCTGACAGGACAATTAACCAGTGGAACTGCTTGCCTCTAGAAGTTGCGAATGCTCCAACAATGGAAGTTTTTAAGAAGAGACTGGATAGCCTGAGCAGGGGGTTGGACTAGATGACCTCCAAGGTCCCTGCCAACTTTATTTATTATTAAAAAGTACTGGGTGGGGGAATTCTGGGAATTGAACTCCACCCGTCTTCAAGCCTGCTGGCTGGGGAATTCTGGGAAGCAAAGTCTACCCAACGTAAAGGATACTGGATGGGGGATTCTGGGAATTGAACTCCACCCATCTTAAAGCATGCTAGCTGGGGAATTCTGGGAAGCGAAGTCTACCCAACGTAAAGGATACTGGATGGGGGATTCTGGGAATTGAACTCCACCCATCTTAAAGCATGCTGGATGGGGGATTCTGGGAATTGAACTCCACCCATCTTAAAGCCTGCTGGCTGGGGAATTCTGGGAAGCGAAGTCTACCCAACGTAAAAGGTACTGGGTGGGGGAATTCTGGGAATTGAACTCCACCCATCTTCAAGCCTGCTAGCTGGGGAATTCTGGGAAGCAAAGTCTACCCCATGTAAAGGGTACTCGAAGGGGGAATTCTGGGAATTGAACTCCACCCATCTTAAAGCATGCTAGCTGGGGAATTTGGGAGTTGAGATTTAGACAGATAGATAGATAACTATTATTGTCATTTTTTTCCTGTGGGCACAATAGCACACTTTAAAAATGAAATTTTGTTGCTTGCTCTGAAAAGCTTATACATACATAACACACATTTAAACGTGCTATATACTGTAGGACATGTGTATAAACCTACATCCTCACACATAAATAACAGGTAAATATAAATCACTGTCCATTTCAAGTACATAGCGGGAAGAGGACGCTTTAGCGATCACAAGGTTAATACTGGATGAAACAAAACTGTGACTGAATCTGGATGTTCTGCTTCGGATAACACCCATCTTAAAGTTGTTGAGGTTGAGAAACATTTGGATATAGCTCAGGGCTGTCCAAATTTGGTCTTCAATTTAAAGACTTGGCAGCTTGAAGACTTTTGGACTTCAACCCCCAGAATTCCCCAGCCAGCCATGAATTGTGGGAGTTGAAGTCCACAAGTCTTAAAAGTTGCCAAATTTGGAGAACCTGCAGTAGATCCTCAAGGTGACTTCAGATGTTCTTCATACCCATCTCATTACAGAAAGCCTGGAGANTGGTGGACTTCAACTGCCAGAATTCCTCAGCCAGGCATGCTGGCTGAGGAATTCTGGGAGTTGAAGTCCACCAGTCATCAAAGGACCAGGTTTGAAGACCCCTGGTTTAACATGGTTAAACGGCTGCTGGAATTGGGAATGTCTAGCTTAATGAAGAGAAGGACGAGGGGGGACATGATAGCAGCCTTCCAGTATCTCAGGGGCTGCCCCAAAGAAGAGGAAGTCAAACTGTTCTCCAAAGCGCCTGAAGGCAGGACAAGAAGCAACGGATGGAAACTGATCAAGGAGAGAAGAAACCTGGAACTAAGGAGAAACTTCCTGACAGTGAGAACAATTAGCCGGTGGAACAACCTGCCTCCAGAAGCGGTAAATGCTCCAACACTGGAAGTTTTTAAGAAGAGACTGGACAGCCATTGGTCTGAAATGGGATAGGGTTTCCTGCCTGAGCAGGGTGTTGGACTAGATGACCTCCAAGGTCCCTTCCAACTTTATTATTATTACAATATTAATATTAATATTAATAATATTAATAATAATATTAATAATATTAATATTAATATTATATTATTATCATTATGTCAACCAGGAACAGGAGATGATAGATTTCAGAGCGACAGATGCAAAGCCACCCAAGCTGATTTTTCATGCCCAAAACAGGAAGTCCTCGACTTAACGGACACAACTGAGGGCAGAAATTCTGTTTGCTAAGAGAAAACATTTCTTAAGTGAGTTTTGCCCCGTTTTACGACCTTTCCGGCCACCGTCGTTAAGCGAATCCCTGCAGCTGATAAGCGAATAATCCGGTCGTTAAGTGAAACTGGCTGCCCCCCCCTTGACTTTGCTTGCCAGAAGGTCGCAAAAGCGGATCAGGTGACACCCCCACCCCCCTGGGACTCTGCGACCGTTGTAAAACCTCCAGTCTTCTTCCTGTCTTCCCAGCAGACGACAAGGCTTGGGTGTGTTAATGACAACCGACCTCCCGGGGTTACGTGCCCCGAGTGCGCATGCACACAACCGCCCAGATCCTGGGGGAGAGGAAAAAAAAAGAGAGAAAAAAACCCCAAATAAAAGCCACCTACTTGGGTGCACCGGGCGTGACGGGGACTTGTGCTTTCCCGGGCGTGACATTTCTGTTCGTGTCAATTTCGGCCAGGTTTTCCCGATTGTTAGACCTGGTTTTGAGGAGGAGAAGGGTGGAGGGTGCACAGAGAGAGGAAGAAGGAAAGCAAGGAAAGAAGACGTGGTCAAGGACAGGCCTTGGACCCCCCCCCCACCGTGGTCCTCTGAACGACAAAAGATGCTTCCGGTGCGCCCGTTGTGTGTGCAAACCCAAAACACCGAGAGTGGGTCCTCAAAATCAGCCTTACCTCGCTGTTTGGGCCTCTTCGTGGAGCCTAGACGTCTTGGCACGCCTGGCTGAACTGGACAGAGACGGAATAGGGCAATTGCTCACCAGTTGAACTACAGCCTGACCCCCCCCCGGTTTGCACGGACAATTGTCCACCCACCGTTTCAACAGTGGGAAAAGCCTAGCACTGAGGATGTCCCCTAGCGCAGGGCTTTTCAACCTTTTCACCCATTGTACCACTTTTAGGATATGGCAACATCCGAGGACCACCAGTCGCCTAGCAAGGGGTCAAAAACTTGATGACCAAAAAAAAAAGGGGGGGGAAAGTGATAAAGTACAGGTAGTCCTCGACTTACAACAGTTCGCTTAGTGACTGTTCGAAGTTCCAATGGCCCTGAAAAAAGGGCCCCCCAAGCCACAGCCGAGCAAGACACCTGCCTGCCCACCCGGCCGCGCTCTTCCTCCTGTCCGAGGTTTTCATTGTTGTGAGCATTTCTGTTGAGGACTGGCAGCGGGGGTGGGGTGGGGGGCGTTTGGTTTTTATTCCTGTCTGCTGGGTGGTTGCAGCAGGTTTTGGTCACTTCACATGACCCTGGGACACTGTGACCGTCATAAATAGGAATCAGTTGCCAAGCCTCTGAATGTAAATCACAAGACCCTGGAGAGGCTGCAACATTCCAGCTGATCGACGCTTTTTCGGGGCTCAGCAGAGGCACCAGGATCAGCGCTGAGATCCAGCTGGAGACTGGCGCTGATCCTGGCGCTTCCGCTGAGCCCTGACAGTCCCGAAGTGCCGATCAGCTGGAAAGCGGCACTGATCCTGGTGATCCTGGCGCTTCCGCTGAGCCCTGAAAGCCCTGCAGCCCCAGCCGTCTCTCGCTCAGGCTTGTGCGGTGCTGCCACCGGTTCAGCTCATTCCCCTCCCCTGCTACCACTTTTCTAGGATGGTCGCGTACCACCTGCCAGGTGCCAATGTACCACAGGTGGTACCCGTCCCATGGGTTGAAAAGCCCTGCCCTAGCTGGATCGCGAAAGGTCTGCGAGGAAACATCCAAGCTCGGAGAGCAGCAAGGACCCCACGGTTCTTCTCCTCCAGCACCACAAACCCTTCTCCCTTCTAGCACTGATGAGGTTACCTGGTTGGGTCGTGAAATGTCTGCGAGGAAACATCCCGGCTCAGACAGCACCACGAACATCACAATCCTCCCCTTCTTTTTTCCTTTCCCCCCTCCACCACCGCTTCCCTCCCTCCTCCACTCTGCAACCCCACCCCCCTTCTAGCACTGATGATGTTCCCTAGTGGGGTCATGAAATGTCAGCGAGAAGGCAAAAAAAAAAAAACAACCTCAGAGAGCACCAAGGACCTCAAAGTCCACCTATTGCTCTCCCCGAACCCCACTCCCTTCCAGCACTGATGACGACCCCCGGTTGGGTCATGAAACGTCTGCAAGAAAACAAGCAAGCTCAGAGAGCACCAAGGACCCCACGGTCCTCCTCCTCCCTTCTAGCACTGATGGTGTTCCCTAGTTAGGTCATAAAACATCTGCAAGAAAACCACCCAGCTCAGAGAGCACCAAGGACCCCACAGTCCTCCTCTTCTTCCCTCCTCTTCCTCCTCCCCTCCTCAACCATCTCCTCCTCCTCTCCACAATTACCCCATAGTCTTCTCTTCTTCCTCCCTCCCTCCTCTTCCTCCCCTCAACCATCTCCTCCTCCTCCTCTCTGCAATTACCCCTTCCTTCCAGCACTGATGACGCTCCCTAGTTGGGGTCCTGAAACGTCAGCGAGGAAACATCCCAGCTGAGAGAGCGCACAAAGACCCCACCGTCCTCTTCCTCCTCCCCCTCTTCCTCCCCCTCAACCGTCTCCTCCTCCTCTCCAAAAGCCCACCTCCCTTCCAATAGTGATGAAGTTACCTAGCAGGGTCATGAAACGTTTGCAAGAGAGCAACTAGGCCCGGAGACCATATTTCAACCACCAGCTACTAATATTCTCCTTCATCAGAAGCTTAACTCTATCGCAGGGGATCTCCAACCTGGGCTACTTTATGACTGGTGGACTCAAACTCCCAGAATTCCTCAGCCAGCATGGCTGGCTGAGGAATTCTGGGAGTTGAAGTCCACCAGTCATAAAGTGGCCAAGGTTGGGGACCTCTGCTCTATGGGACAGAGCAATCCAGCGTACAGGAAATCCTCCACTTAGGATGACAATGGGGCGTCAATTCTCCGTTGCTAAGCAGGCTGGTTATGAAGTGAGCCGTGCTCCATTTTACATCGTTAAAAGAGAATCCCAGCGGCCGTTCAGTAAATTCACACCGTCATTAAGCCAATATTCTATTCTATTCTATTCTATTCTATTCTATTCTACTCCATTCTATATTTCCATTCCATTCTATAGTATTGTATTGTATTGTATTGTATTCTACTATTCTATTTTTCTATATTTTTTGTTTAATTCGTATTCTATTCTATTCTATTCTATTCTATTCTATTCTACAATCTGTCTACTCTACTCTACTCTACTCTACTCTACTCCTGGTGGCACAGTGGCTAGAACACAGTATTGCAGGCTAACTCTGCATTCCACTACCAGGAGTTCGATCCTGACCGGCTCAAGGTTGAGTCAGCTTCCCATCCTTCCGAGGTCAATAAAATGAGGACCCAGATTGTTTGGGGGGAGGGGTCAAGATCCAAGTGACGACAGTCATTGCCCAGAGAGGGCTGTCAAGCCCAGTGGGGCGGTACGTAAGTCTAAGGGCTCCTGCTATCCCAGAGACCTACATTTTCTGCTTCTTCACTGGAGGGGGCTCTTGTTTGCTGGCCAAGGCGGTGGCAACCTTCTCGGCGTGGCTTTTGGCCATCAGTCGACGCTGGGCACTTTTTCGCCGGGCCGAAAGCCGCTTGGCCGCCCTAAAGATGGAAAGTAAAAGAGTCCTTGAGCAAAAGGGAGAGGAGGGGGGGGGGAGGCTAGATGTTGCATTTTAACTAGCGGTGGGATTCTGCCAGCTTGCCCCGGTTTGGTAGAACCGGTAGCTAATTTTTTGTTGACTTCGGTGAACCGGCTGATGCCCAGCCCTTTTTCGCAAGGCTCAGAACGGAACGACGGAAGTGCATCCACGGCATTTCCAGACATCCATTCTGAGCTGGGGAGGCCTCCGAGGCCCAGAATGCCCCACAGGAAGTGCATCCATGCCACTTCCTGATGTCCGTTCTGAGCTGGGGAGGCCTCCGAGGCCCAGAATGCCCCACAGGAAGTGCATCCACGCCACTTCCTGATGTCCGTTCTGAGCTGGGGAGGCCTCCGAGGCCCAGAACGCCCCACAGGAAGTGCATCCACGCCACTTCCTGATGTCCGTTCTGAGCTGGGGAGGCCTCCGAGGCCCAGAACGCCCCACAGGAAGTGCATCCACGCCACTTCCTGATGTCCGTTCTGAGCTGGGGAGGCCTCCGAGGCCCAGAATGCCCCACAGGAAGTGCATCCACGCCACTTCCTGATGTCCGTTCTGAGCTGGGG